GAAAAATCATCGCAAAAATATCTGAAAAGAGCGTTTTCCTAGGAAAAGCGACTTTTCCGGAAAAATGATGGGTGATCGGAAAAATCTGGGATCATATTTGAATTCAACAGATCAAAATACAAAGGAACCGATGTATCACATGTCGGAGACATTCATACAATGAATTTTGAATACACTTCGATCCGGCAAAGCTTTTACAATACGCAATTTTAGGCTCGGAAAACTCGGCTTTACCGAAAATCTGAAGTGTGATAAAAAGAAACCGAGGTCATATTCAGATTTAGCAGCTCAAAATACATGAGTTACATGCTACCACGGGTCCAGGAAAATTTATAAAAATACATTGCATGCACGACAAATATGCGTCGGATTTTCTCATTTTCCCGGGATGAAGTTGCTTTCCCGGAAAACTGAGAGGTGAACGGGAAAAATTAAGGTCATTTCCGGACTCATCAGTTAAAAAGACATCGGCATAATCGAATCTCGTAGCTACGAAAAATTTTATCTGCATTATGCATAGGATAGCAGTCGGAAAAACACCGAAAATGCCCCAAAATGGTCATTTTTCCGAGTAAAATCGGCTCTTCCGGAAAATTGGAGGCTGATGGAAAAAAACGGAGGTCATAATCGGATTCAGCGCATCGAAATACGTAAGGGTAACTTTCTTCACCCGAAAGGCATACTGAAAAATATGCGTTTTCGATGATTTAGAACCGACCATGCACGAATCATGCGAAAACCGCTAATGTCCAGTTTATTGCTGGTCGTTTCGTGATGAAACTTGCTTTAAGTGCCGCAATTGTCAAGAATTTTAGTTTTACAACTTTATTTGAATGATAATCTACCGTTTTTTTACCTTCATAATGAATTTTGAAAGTATCAAACGGTTCCAAAACTCGAAGATTTTCACGAATCATGCGAAAACCGCCAATGCCCAGAGTCTTTTCTTTTTAATTATTCCGTCCCAGACAGAGGAGGAGCTGAAAACTGTTAGGGATCCTTTTCTACAATCCTCTCCTGTAATAATTAACTTCTGAACATTTTTTAATTCCGCATTTAAAAGGCTCCTACAGTTTTTTGCAGTTCTCTCAAAATTAGAGAAAATGGACATTAGCGGTTTTCGCAGGAGCCGATTCAATTGAACATTATATCATGCAATAAATATAGTGACATTTTACTCACGAACAGGTATTAGGCAAATTAGCACTGACAAGTATATTAACTGAATAGAACAGAATACAGCACTGACACGGGGTTCTTTCAAGGTCAGATGTACAGTATATGACTGCTGATTTAAGTAAATGATAATTTTGAATGATGATGTATAGTAGGCAAAAAATTCACAATGGGTTCAGTGGCATTATCTCGCTGAGTTGGCCTGTTCTAATATTAGAATTTTCACCTGTTTTTGTAATTTTGACCTACCTCTATACCATACTCATTCAAAATTCGCGCAGACTCATAACATCGACAAAGGCGTAACTATTAATTCGGAGGAAGGTGCATAATTTTTTTCAGTTATACAACATAGTCAATCCGTAATTTATCTAGAGCCATTACAGATGCATTTGATAACACGACCGTTCATGATGTAAAAGTTCGGAGGAGAGACATTTCCTTCACCCTGAAAGTTGTGCGTCTTAACCTTATGAATGCAACTGTCGTGTGATTGCGATGACTTAGTGTGAGGTTGTCGCACAAGCGTTGAAAGTAAATGATCTTTTTCCAGATAAATCATTAGAATCTAAAAGGTGCGTTTTCGGAATTTCAGCATTTATGTGAATTCTAATCAAACAAGATGGCCCTAGATCAATTTTGTACTCGTAAAACACCGTTCTACTCTTATGGTGAGTGCTAGAGTGAGTATGATCCTTCTTATGACTAATAGCTGTAGGATGATAAAAACTTTACGCACTGCTTACTGTTTACATCCCCAAAATTGTTAATTTATTGCTGATTCCCAATCAGGGCCGGATTCACCTACTTTCCGCCGATGGGCCGCCTGTATTTTGCCACACCCTTCTCATTCGTATTGAAACATCAATAAAAACCATCAAGTGAACGTGCCAGCGGGGGAGGGGTGCTTAAGACGCGTTTACTCGTGTTGAACACATTTTTTGGGGATGCCCTGTCAACACTACTAGCAAAAGTTAAGTTTTGTAAACCTATCTCTTTGTGGACAAGGCCTTCCATTCATAAGAAATGAACGAAACAATTATGAAAGAACAAACATGAATGTGGTTCAATGATTTTAACTTCCGCCGCCGCGCCGCGCAGACCGCACCGTGTTTGGCGCAATGCGTGAAGTATTCATACAGTCTTGTAGGCGCCATGCGTTTCACGCTGACGCACGTCCGGCGCAATGCGTGGAGTATTCATGCATTCTTGTGGGCGCTATCCGTTTCACGCTGACCGCACTGTATTTGATGCAATGCGTGAAGTATTCGTGCAGTCTTGTAGGCGCTGATATGTGTTACATGCTGATCGCCGCGCCGATGGCTTCTCCTTTTCATCTCAAGTCCTCGTCATCATTGCTCTCTGCCCCGCGCCGTTCCAGGCTACATTGCGTGTTTGGTTTCTCTCTTAACTCGACTAATTAAAGGTGCTGTCTCTTGTATCACTGAAAGACGACACAATTAAAAATTACTACACTCTCGGGAAATGGGAAATTTTGTCGCCTTTGTTTGCCGTTTATAATTTTTTTTTCTAAATCCGATATTTTTTTATACCTACATTTAAATACATTGCAAAATTTGCCGCCCTCTAGTTTTGCCGCGGCCCATGTGACCACCATCTTAAGCCGGCCCTGGGAATTTCCCAATAGTTCCCTTATCACCCTTCCTTAAATCCCTCACACACCCTCTTCCCTTATCCTTGATAACTACCTGCGGCTTATTGACTCCTCAAAATCTTTGATTTTACAGTTCGAGTACCCCAGCGATATGTATTCGCTATTTTGGGATTTTCATGCATGGTTGCAGCATTTGCCATGCGCTCTTGTTTCAACATTGCAATTGTTCAGATGGTGCGTCCTGTCTTGCAGAAAACGGCTCAAAACACGTCTAAGATTGATATGACATGCCCCATGCCTGATCAAGGGAATATAACATTCGTTCCTACCGCTAAGTTTGTAAGTCTTTTAAATATGATTTCAAGTTCTTATGTTTATGGGCATACTATTTTAGGAGAACATTAATATTTTAATATTACATGAAAAAGCTCAGTCAGCACTAACTGTGAATCACCATTCAATAAATTAGATCTCATTGTGATTATAGCAAAACATAATTGAATACATCAGTAAGAGGAAGATTTCAAATATACAGATGTAAACTGTCAAATTATTTGATCATTGTATGGGCTCAGAGGCAGGGCCAGATAAGCGCTCAGCAGGGAGCAGGGCCCGGGGTGCTGGCGGCGGCAAAGGGACCGGCACACTCGCGGATTGCATACTCTCTAAATTGAAGGCATTTCATCGGCGACGACCTCTGACTTATACACATTATTTATATTTATGCATCAGAAAGTCATTGATCCTTGAGTACGAGGGTACTGTCCCGGTACGATGGCACACAGAGCGTTTCCTCCGAATTTCAAAAGAGGTCATTCACCATTAATTTATCTTCACTCACCACTTGCCTATGGAAATGCGGCGCCCAAAATTATTACATGGCTACTTTTTTTTTGGGGGGGAGGAGGGGTTTATTTGCCACCAAAAGGTTCAAATACAGAATAAAATTACATCAAATTGAATGAGAGATAGCACAAAAGAAAACAGTAAAATTACAAGAGATAAGTTATAACTAGATATAACTATAGACTGTGTATACACTTTTGGATGGCTGCCGGAAATCGCCGTTTGGCATGTCAGTTCCACTACTAAACATAGTCACCCTCTGACCCAGACAATAAAAATTAATTAATTTTAGTTCCAGGAATATTTTAACTGGAATGAACGAACCCAGGGGATTATCCTATCATCATTCTACCCCGGGTATATCCTAACCCAGCTTCCCGGCAGCATACTAGCGCAACGATTCGGCGGCAAACACACACTAGGAATCGGATTGCTCGTGACGTCTGTTCTCACTCTCGCTATACCGTGGGCCGCTAAACAAGGGCCCAACTATTTGATTGCAGTACGATTTATTCAAGGAGTTGGAGAGGTAAAAGTTAAAACTCAATAATTTTGAAACATTGAGAATCCATAAAAACGCCGAAAAAAAGTGAGGTTGATTTAACATTCTGGATGTAAAAAAAGTGTTAGAGTAATTTTAAAATGATGAACTACCCGCCAGAGCAGTTACTTTAGCAATGCCAAGATGTAAAATTAACTACTCTGGCGGCTAATTCAATTCAGCATTTTATAAGTTCTTGCACACTTTTTTACATCCAGAATGTTAAATCAACTTAATTTTTTTCGGCTAATCAAAGTTTCATTATGTTAATGTACTGTGAGAGCATTGCGGGTTCTTTTTTATTAATTCCAGGCTACCTACAGTTTTTGGGACGTCTACACATTTTAATCGTTATAATTACGATGTTGAAGTTTACTAGCCTTGGATCTATACGTCTTCTGTTTTGTAAGTTCACGCACAAGGCATGCCATTTATCCCCCAAAATTTAAGGTACTGAGAAAAAATTGGAGACAAAATTCTAAAACAAAGCCTGGGTAAATAACATACCGTGAATTCACGCAAAAATCGTCTCGTGGATCCACAACATGCCATGGATCTACATACGGTGGATGAATTAATTGTTCTCCGTTCGTTTTCTCAATAAACCATTTGGCTCTAATCTGCACAGTTAAAAAGCAATAATAACATTGTTTCTACATTTGCAGGGGGCTAAATTCCCATGTATATGTCACTTGCTGGCTCAATGGGCACCACCTCTAGAGCGCAGTAAAATGACGACCTTTGTTTTTTCTGGTAATGATGTAAGTTTTTTTTCGTATAGAATTAACTCACCTTCACAATCGCCACGATAAAGCTTCTGTGCAATGCACTACGTACTGACTGAGTTCTGTAAGTTTTCACGTAAAAGTATCAAGCTGAGGATTAACGGGTTTGCAATAAAATCTGTTACATTTCTACTAAACAAATTACAAACAAGTTATTGTGAATATAAATATATTCTTTGATAAAACATATGAAGACAAAAATATTTGACCTACAGTTTTCCTACTCTCCTGCTGTTTTGAGAGAGAAAGAGTCACATGATGGTCATTTTGGCATTCTGAATGATAAAATACATATTTCATTCGTAGTACTTCCGTTTTGTCGGTGTTAGATCTATCTTTTCTTCCTTCTGAAAAAAGTAACTTGATAAAATGGTCATCGCGTGAATTTTGTCGACCCTCTAATATTTAAAACGCTAGGCGAGAAAAAAACTACATTCTTGATGCATGATCGATAAAATTCAATGAAAAGATCTAGTATTTGACTAATTTCATTCAATTTTGAATAAAATAACAGCTAAAGTTATCAAGAAGTCTCTAGAACAAGAATTATTTAGTTACTGCCAAATCCCAAAAGATATATTGCATTCAATAATGGAAGTATATGCTAACCTACTGAGTTTAATGTGAGCAAAATTGATTTGTAAAATTCATGGCTAAGCTCTCTTCAGCGCGCTAAGAATAATTTCGAACGAATTCGGCGGAGAAATTGGTCGTCCTCGATTAAAAAAATATTTTTTGAGTGGAAGTTTGGTTGAACACAATCTGAGTGCGTTTTTCTGTTCTTTTATTTGTACCTCCAACTCTAAATTAATACATTGACTTGATTTACAGATCTCTACTTCAAGTGTTAGAGGAACCAAATTGTTTAGATATACATATACAAGTTTTTATACACATGAATTATTTTCTTGTTTACTCTATCTACTCTTTATTTTACATATTTTTACGACACTAATCGACCGAATTTTCCTTGGGTGAATGTTTCAGGTTGTTTAATTGGTCTCTTAGTTGGGACGTCCCTAGGTGGGATCATCATTGACGTATCCGGTCATTGGCAAAACGTCTTTTTTATTTTTGGGATTCTCGGTATTGGATGGTATATTTTATGGGCATTTTTCACCTACGAAAATCCCTCGTCTCATCCGTTTATATCCGACGAAGAAAAGCAGTACCTTCTTGACACAATTGGTCAGCTTGAAAGAAAAAAGGTACCCTGATATTCTACTCAATTTATTAATGGTAACCGCGCTGTCCATAGAATTACCATTTCAAACAAACACAATAAACAAACAAAACAAATGGACAGAGCACTATACCGTCGCGTGGTCAAGTTCTACCGGAAAGATACCGCACTTCATGTGATAATGGAATAAAATGTGTCAAGTGCCATGTTGGACTATTAGATACCTACTCGTAATATTGAATAATTAANGTCTTGCAGAAAACGGCTCAAAACACGTCTAAGATTGATATGACATGCCCCATGCCTGATCAAGGGAATATAACATTCGTTCCTACCGCTAAGTTTGTAAGTCTTTTAAATATGATTTCAAGTTCTTATGTTTATGGGCATACTATTTTAGGAGAACATTAATATTTTAATATTACATGAAAAAGCTCAGTCAGCACTAACTGTGAATCACCATTCAATAAATTAGATCTCATTGTGATTATAGCAAAACATAATTGAATACATCAGTAAGAGGAAGATTTCAAATATACAGATGTAAACTGTCAAATTATTTGATCATTGTATGGGCTCAGAGGCAGGGCCAGATAAGCGCTCAGCAGGGAGCAGGGCCCGGGGTGCTGGCGGCGGCAAAGGGACCGGCACACTCGCGGATTGCATACTCTCTAAATTGAAGGCATTTCATCGGCGACGACCTCTGACTTATACACATTATTTATATTTATGCATCAGAAAGTCATTGATCCTTGAGTACGAGGGTACTGTCCCGGTACGATGGCACACAGAGCGTTTCCTCCGAATTTCAAAAGAGGTCATTCACCATTAATTTATCTTCACTCACCACTTGCCTATGGAAATGCGGCGCCCAAAATTATTACATGGCTACTTTTTTTTGGGGGGGGGGAGGAGGGGTTTATTTGCCACCAAAAGGTTCAAATACAGAATAAAATTACATCAAATTGAATGAGAGATAGCACAAAAGAAAACAGTAAAATTACAAGAGATAAGTTAAAACTAGATATAACTAGACTGTGTATACACTTTTGGATGGCTGCCGGAAATCGCCGTTTGGCATGTCATCAGCAGCCAGTTCCACTACTAAACACGGTCACCATCTGACCCAAACGATAAAAATGAATTAATTTTAGTTCCAGGAATATTTTGACTGGAATGAACGAACCCAGGGGATTATCCTATCATCATTCTACCCCGGGTATATCCTAACCCAGCTTCCCGGCAGCATACTAGCGCAACGATTCGGCGGCAAACACACACTAGGAATCGGACTGCTCGTGACGTCTGTTCTCACTCTCGCTATACCGTGGGCCGCTAAACAAGGGCCCAGCTATTTGATTGCAGTACGATTTATTCAAGGAGTTGGAGAGGTAAAAGTGAAAACTCGTTAATTTTGAAACATTGAGAATCCATAAAAACGCCGAAAAAAAAGTGAGGTTGATTTGACATTCTGGATGTAAAAAAAAGTGTAAGAGTAATTTTAAAATGCTGAACTACCCGCCAGAGCAGTTACTATAGCAATGTCAAGATGTAAAATTAACTACTCTGGCGGCTAATTCAGCATTTTATAAGTTCTTGCACACTTTTTTACACCCAGAATGTTAAATTAACTTCACTTTTTTTCGGTGAATCAATGTTTCATTATGTTAATGTATTGTTAGAGCATTGCGGGTTCACTTTTATTACTTCCAAGCTACCTGTATTATTTGAGACGTGTACAAATTTTAATCGTGATAATTACGATGTTGAAGTTTGCTACACCGAAAAAAATAATATGCTGTTTTAGCATCTAGGATTTCAAAAATGTGTCTGGTGATCCAAAGATGCTGCCTTTACTGCCCCCGCAGTTAATATTACATCCTGTGAATGCAAATTCAACTGCGGGGGCAGTAAAGGCAGCATCTTGAGATCACCAGACACATTTTTGACATCCTATATGCTAAAACAGCATATTATTTTTTTCGGTGTAGCCTTGAATCTGTGCGCCCCTGTTTTGTAAATTCACGCACAAGGCATACCATTTATCCTCAAAAATTTAAGGCACTGATAAAAAATTGGACACAAAATTCTAAAACAAAGCCTGGATAAATGACATACCGTAAATTCACGCAAAAATCGTCTCGTGGATGTACAACATACCACGGATCTACATACGGTGTATGAATTAACTGTTCTCCGTTCGTATTATCATTAAACTGTTTGGCTCTAATCTGCATAGTTAAGAAGCAATAATAATATTGTTTCTATATTTTCAGGGGGCTAAATTCCCATGTATATGTCACTTGCTGGCTCAATGGGCACCACCTCTAGAGCGTAGTAAAATGACGACCTTTGTTTTTTCTGGTAATGATGTAAGTTTATTTTTGTATAGAATTAACTCACCTTCATAATCGTCACGATAAAGCTTCTGGGCATTGCATTACTGATTGAGTTCTGCAGGTTTTCACGTAAAAGTATCAAAATAAGGATTAACGGGTTTGCGGTAAAATCTGTTACATTCCTACTGAACAAATTATAAACAAGATATAAACATAAATATATTCTTTGATAAAACATATGAAGACAAAAATATTTGACCTACAGTTTTCCTACTCCCCCGCTGTTTTGAGAGAGAAAGAGTCACATGATGGTCATTTTGACATTCTGAATGAAAAAGTACATGTTTTAGTCGTAGTTCTTCCGTTTTGTCAGTGTCTAATCTTTCTTTTCTTCCCTCTGAAGAAAGTAACTTGCTAAAATGGTCATACTGCTAGATCCCAAAAGATATTGCATTCATGGAAGTCTATGCTAAACTACTGAGTTTACTGTGAGAAAAATTGATTTGTAAAATTCATTGCTAAGCTCTCTTCAGCCCGTTAAGAATAATTTTTACGAATTCGGCGGAGAAATTGGCGGTTCTCGATTAAAAAAATATTTTTTGAGTGGAGGTTTAGTTGAACACAATCTGAGTGCATTTTTCTGTTCCTCATTTTGTACCTCCAACTTTCAATTTATACATTGACTTGATTTACAGATCTCTACTTCAAGTATTAGAGGAACCAAATTGTTTAGAGATATACAAGTTTTCATACATATGAATTCTTTTCTTGTATACTCTATACTCTAGCTGCTCTTTTTTTACACATATTTTTACGACACTAATCGACCGAATTTTGATTGGGTGACTGTTTCAGGTTGTTTAATTGGTCTCTTAGTTGGGACGTCCCTGGGTGGGATCATCATTGACGTATCCGGTCATTGGCAAAACGTCTTTTTTATTTTTGGGATTCTCGGTATTGGATGGTATATTTTATGGGCACTTTTAACCTACGAAAATCCCTCGTCTCATCCGTTTATATCCGACGAAGAAAAGCAGTACCTTCTTGACACAATTGGTCAGCTTGAAAGAAAAAAGGTACCCTGATATTCTACTCGCTTTATTAATGCTAACCGCGCTGTCCATAGAATTACCATTTTAAACAAACACAATAAACAAACAAAACAAATGGACAGAGCACTATACCGTCGCGTGGTCAAGTTCTACCGGAAAGATACCGCACTTCATGTGATAATGGAATAAAATGTGTCAAGTGCCATGTTGGACTATTAGATACTCGTAATATTGAATAATTAAATCAAAATTTAGAGGGAAAAGTTGAAAAAGAGTGGGAAGAAGGAAAAAAAAATTACTATTCCATCTATAAAAAACAAGAAATGAGGAGGACAAATTGTTGTCAATCGGTTTATTTGTTAGTTAAATTAAAAATAGCAATGCAACAGTGTTATACGCTGCTACCTCTCACGACTCCTGTGTAATGCAAGGAAGCGGTGCTTACTTAAAGTTATGGATATCTCTTCTTTTGTATTCTGCTCATCATTCCAGACATTAGGCCCTATACCATGGCGGGAGATGATGAAGTCAAAACCTCTTTGGAGCTTAATAATCGCTGAATTTGGACATAGTTGGGCAGTTTTTGTTATCCTAAGTGATCTTCCAAAGTACATGAATGACGTCATCCATTTCACCATTGCTGAGGTGAGATCAAATTTCATCGTTTCACTATTTGAAGCATGTATCAACAAGAGCTAAATAACGCATCTTACACTTTTGGAATACATGTTATTAGCATCTTTAGCATACCTATCAATTGGATCTGTACATGCATGGGAAACATTCGAAGCTTTGGTAGCTCTGTTGAAAGGCTCCTGAAATAACAGTACAAATCAACTAAACGTGACTATTTTGTAATTTAAACCTCTGGTGTTTGTTATTTTTAATTATTTTTTTCTTCTGATACTTGATCGCAGAATGGACTTTTGTCAGCTGTCCCCAATTTAACAGCATGGGCAGTTTCTATAATTTCAAGCTATCTGGCTGACTGGATTCTAAAGCGGAAATATATGTCGATGAATACACAAAGAAAAGTATTTGCGATTATAGGTCTGTATTAATTTCGTTTTTTGCATGAGCTCCAGAAAAAAATTACAGAGTAGATTTTGCAAAAAATGAATGCTTTTGGAACCAAATGTTTCAAGACTCGAATACTTGTAATAGTATTTAAGCACAGAGCTCATGCTTCTGTTTAAAAATTTCTTTGTAAACCAAATACCAAAAATTCCTTGAGGTTTTTTTTTCTGGGAAGGAGGGTGGCTATGTCCTACCCATGGTGGTATTAAAATGAGTTTGCTCATACCCATGATACTCGCAAACGGCTACATTATTAGATATTCACTCAAAATATTCCTCAGAGTCAAATATGTATAAAACACGAGTACTGTCATTAAAGTGCTATATATGATCATGAAATACATGGTTCGAAAAATTTGGAATATTTCACGGATCCAATGAAAAACGAATGTATTTCCAGGCTGCTGGGGACCTGCACTGGGGCTGATAATGGTCTCTTACGCGGGCTGTGACAAACACCTCGTTATTGTTACGATAACTGTGGGCCTCGCTTTAATGGGCTTTGAATTTCCCAGTCTGAAAACCAATACAATCGATCTGAGTCCCAACTACACTGCCACAATCATGGCGTTTGCCAATGGGATTGGATGTTTTGCAGGGGTATTCGCTCCCTATACGATTGGAGTTCTGACGCCGGATGTAAGTACAATGTTTCAAGTGTGCATGGACTAAAAAGTATACACCAAAAATTTTGTTTTAAAAACATTTCATTTTAATCTTTGTGAGACAAACTTTCAGCAAGATATTAATTTACGATTCTAAAAAAATAGAAGAAGTAAACATAAGTACGACATCCTTTTGGAAGCCCTATAATTACGATAATTATGTAACATGTTTTTACCAGTATAAGACAAAACACATTTTAAAAATATTTTATTAAAACTCCTCAGAAATGTTTTTAATATAATTTAAACATGACACTATTTGTGCACAGACACGAAACCGAAACATATCCCCTTAAACTTTCAAAACTCGATTTTCCTCGTTTTGAAGAAAATCTGCGAGGTTTGGGAGTTTCATAACCGAAAAGTATGTGGTCGTCCACTCTGGCTGGGCGGAAACCATTGACAATCTGGTGATAACGCTTTGATGCAACTATTCGCACTTAGTGGAAGTCGATCTTGCATGTGAAAAAATTGAAGGCGCTTTGACTTCCTCTGTCCTCGCAGCTATTCTTGTTACATTGATGAACGAGATCAATGCATTTATCTAGATCTTCGAAAAGCTCCTTTAAGCATCTCTATACAAGGTACTCAACATTTTTTCATTGCAATTAATTACCGCCAACGAGAGAAGGAGATTTAGCTCACGAGAGCAAAATTTTCAATAAATTGACTTTTTTGCAAGTTTGGGCAAATCTTTCATTGAGATTTCGACAGAAAATTATTTTTGGTTTCCTTAAGTATACATGTTCACTTCAATCCGGCACAAACAGAGGAAAGTTTAAAACTACATCAAAATCCGACAATTACTTAAACCCTGACAATGCAAGATTAGAATTTGGAATATAATTTTGTACAACCACGTTTTTTCAAAAAAAAAAAAAAAAAAAAAAAAAAAAAAAAAAAAAAAAAACCTTCTAAACTTCAAACCATCCAAATTTCAATTTGGTTATCCATATTTAAGCATTTTTTGTCCCAGAATAATCGTAAAATCTTCTTAATTTTGAGTTTCTTTGAACTTAAGCTCCCGTTTCCCTCGGACTTTAACATGTTGAATATTACGCATGGATGAAATTAAACATTCCGGATACATTTTCATTTGACCTTCATAAAGAGAAAATACCTATTTCATGGCAGAGCATTGTTAAAAATGTTGTCGTTCGGACACTAGGTCTTCAGCCAGAAAGGTGTGTTCTGCGCCCTTCAATTTTGTATGCGTTTCTAACTAATACAGTCATGCGTACTTCTAATATAACAGTCTTCTTTTATTGCAAAAATGTCTTTTTTAAAAAAAAAAAAAAATTCCTATAGAGACGTGCATTTTTGTGTGTGATTAAGAGGCGGATGGAAGTTGAAAGGAAAGCGTTTGGCATGCGATGTTTTTCTAAGCTAGCGAAAAACCCAAATATTCCACACGAACAAGAACCATTTCGAACTTTCGATCGTTTTATTCAATAATATTGGATATTTTATCGCCGAAAGAAGTTTTCATTTAATGTTTTGTTGACGACTAAACGTGCGATTTTGGATTATTTTCAGAGGACTATTGATGAGTGGAGGATTGCTTTTTGGATAATGGCAGGTATAATGATCTCGACAAACTGCGCATTTCTCCTTTATGGATCGGCCGAGGTCCAATATTGGAACGACATGGACGAGCACACTGCTAAACTGCGAAACGAAGAGACAAGGACAGAACCAGGTTCTTGAAATTCATTAAGCTACTGGAATTTAACATATTGATTGGCCTGAAGTGAAAACGTCCTTTTGGCAGGATAAATTTAAATATAAAGAGTTTTGAAAATATTTGTAGCATAACTTAAGACAAACTGAGTTTAGATCGAAAATTAGATTTTAGTAGTCTCACTTCTGTACATCATCTAGTCTTATCGTCGTATGTGACGTGCCCCCAAGAATTCCATTTTCATTGTTTTATAATTTTGGTCAGTGGTCTTTTTATTTTTCTGCAAAACCTCTCAAATTGTAAATATACAAGACATTTTGAATTATGATGATTTTTGTTTCTGAAAAACGTCAGCTTAAATGCAAGTAAAATTGTTTGTTTCAAATTTCATAGATGTGCGTGTAGTGCATATAAATGAAAGACGAAACCAAAACCTTAGAGATCTAATTCTCAAAAATCGATTTTCAACATTTCCTACATCTTTCTATCTAATTTGGTCAGAGAAGTTAACAAAACCTAACGCAACGCCAAATTATATCCAATTTAGGGCGAGTGGGTTCGCAGGTTGTCACCGCTAACAATGGCCACGTTGTGTTTTTTTAGACGTTCAAACACAGGGTAAGGTATTTATGGTCGAAAGAAAAAGATATCATCAACATTTTCATAGCTTCATTTTAATTGTTGGATAAACATTGAAATAAATTTATTGCACATATCTCTAACAGGTAAAATAGGATAATTTATACATTAAGCATGTATTTGAAACTGTTGAAGTTGAACAAAATCTTCAAATTATAAGGAATCGTCCATGACTAAAATGACCACTATAGGTCTTGGCTTTGTTGGTTTATCAAATTTCTGTCATAAAATTTAACAAACCTCTCATTTTACAATATACTTATGTCAATCAACTTTATCTCACAATAATACATTTGGTAATTACATAGAAACTACATTTGTCTTTAATTTTGTTCCCTCCCAAACGGGTTTTGTAGATGAATGTAGCATCCCGTCGTAATTCTGCACCACGAGCCACGAATCTAAGACAAAGAGTCTGCAATATGTAGTGTAGACGACAAAACTTGTCCAGAAGTACGTATATTTGCATACATCAAAAATTGAAGGCAATTTGAATGAGTTGGCTCTTAATCACGCTATGGACCCTACCATCAAAGCAATGCAATCATCAGAATATATCAAGCGAAAGTTAATTTTGAGTCTCTGTGAAAAATTATAAACAGTGCGTTTTGTGAGTTGCACTATTGAGGCTTAAATCCCCTGAACTCCCCTTTCCTTCAACTTAGAATTAAACGAGACAAAAATCACATCTATTTACATATTCAGCCTAGCAATACAAAAAATACGCCTAAATTGTTAAATCATTACAGAATTTCTCTGGTCAAATAATAGTATTGATAAGATAAGATAAAGATTTATCAATGAAATCATTCAATAACCATTCAACAGTCCAGGCGCTGGACACATTAATGCGAAAGAAGTCTGCATCCACATTGGAAGAATCGAGAGAGAACCAATCTGTTTAGGAGATGGATTGAATTTTAGGGTAAGAGTTTGAAAACAGGTTAAGAGATAATTTTATACTCAAGAGTTGTAAAATTACGCCAATTCAGCTATTGTCTAAAATCGCCAATAATTTTAAAATTCTAAAACTTAAAATTCTTACTATATTAAAAATACTAAAAACAACGAAAAAATCATTTTATTTATTTATTTTATTTTACTTGCAGACGGAAGTCGAGGCGATAAATAGCATGACTCAGCTTCAAGCAGAGAGAAGAGTTTTTTCCGAAGTTTTCATGTCCAAGACGAGATTACATTACGCAAAAGTAGTCAACAGACTTCTGTAGGAAGAATCTTCAGAAAAACCCCCAATTACCTTTGGTGTTCAATATATGGAATTTTGAGTTGTTCTTGCAAGTGCTGTCCGTTTTCACCCCAAGCCCACGTGAAAATTTCAACAGAGGAGACTGCAAAAAAACATAACTCATTTGTGGCAGTTGGAAATCTCCGCTTTCATTTTATTTTGTTGAAGGAGAATGGACCAACACTTTTACTTGAATTTTTCAACAAATATTCTTCACATAGAAAAAGAAAAATGAAAAAAGGTAGCTTTTAAGAAATGGTGTTGCATGAATATTTCCCCATTCATTTAAAAAACAAATTATGACAAGAAGTATAGAGCATCACAAAGCGAGATACGCGTTTTTGCAGTTTCACCGTCGATGTCTCTTTCCAAACTACCAATGCAAAAATACTCCTTTCGTTTAAATGCGCCCAAATATAATATATACAAAATCTGCATCAATACAAACCGGACGGCGTGTCGGCCAACTTGGGTGTGGAGCGCCTGTAGTTGAGGTCGACGCTTTTCAAATTACTAGGAGATCTATTGACGGGCCCGCGCGGTCGGTTGGGCGCAGGATGGTCGTACTCCGGGTACTGGTTCGAGTACAGGCCCGCGATCTTGTTGCCCCTCTTGAGGATGAACTCCGACTCAGACGCCTTCTTCCCGCTCGGGTCGCGCTTGTCCACCTTGGAGCCCAGGTCCGTGCCCACGTAGATCTTCGGCATGATGTACGGGACGCCTCCGTCGAGGGCCGGCGAGGTCCGCCGCGACTTGTCCACGCGGACGTTGCTATAAGCCTCGCTCTTGGCTTTGTTCGAGTCCTTGAGGATGCCGTACTTGTCCGTCCGCGAGGGGATCCGCGAGACGTTCTTGTAGACGTCGTTGAAGTAGATGGGCTTCGTCACGGGCGGTTTCTTGACGCGGCGGCAGCAGTTGTTTCTCTTGCCGTCGCATTGGTCACAGTCCGAAGGCTTGTCCGAGGTGACGACGATGTCGATGAACCTCTCGATGCCGTCCTCGATCCGGTCGAGGCTCTTGGACTTGAGGCGCTTGTCCGAGGAGGCGGACGACTTGGAGGTGCCGATCTTGGGCTCCCGGGGTTTGTGGAAGAGACCGTCGAAGCTCCCGCGGCGGTTGATCATGGCCGAGACGTCGTAGAACTTCTGCTGGATCTCGTTGTGGATGTTGTGGAAGGTGTCGCTCCGCTTGATCCGCGCCCGGCCCGGGTCACTCTTCTTCGGGTCGTTCTTGCGGTTGTTCTTCTCGCACATGTCGGCCGTGTAGCGGGCCCGCGTGTCGTCGGTGAGGTTGTAGCGGGTGCGGTTGTTGTAGGCCTGGTCGTGGTTCTCGACGTCGTCCCCGAAGTCCACGTCGAGGTTGATCGTCGAGTTGAGCAGGGAGGAGCGGTCGTCCTCGTCGTCGTCGAAGAAGGGGTTCGCGTCGTCGTAGTCCTTCTCCGGCAGGTAGAGGCTCCGGCACCTGCTCGGAGGCTGAGGTAGGATGTAGCTCGGCACGATGTCGCTCTCCTCCTCCAGGATCAGAGCCTCCTGCGAGCTTTTCTCAGGGATCTGGAACATAGATATACCGCAGAGTAAATCATTTGAGCAAATCTGCCGTAATCGCGAAGAAAGCCGTAAGTCTCAAATTTTCGAAATCGCATTCCCTACAAAATTCGACTTGTCTCTTTTATTTGAAGTCACTGAAATGACTAGAATAGCAAGATTTGTCTTATTTGTATGAAAAAGAGACACATGAGAAAGCCGCAAGTGCGCAAAAAATAACGAAGTTTCAGAGAAAACAGCTGTTAGGAGCAGGGCCGGATTTACCTTCTTGCCGCCCATGGGCCGCCTGTACTTTGCCGCCCCCTTCTCATTCGTTTTGAAACATCACTAAAAACCATCAAGTGAACGTACCGGGGGGAGGGGTGCATAAGACGTGTCTACTCGTGTTGGATACATTTTTTACAAAAGCCCTGTCAACACTACTAGCGAAAGTTCACGAAACTTTGCGCGAAAGTTAAATTCCGTAAACCTATCTCTGTGTGAACAAGGCCTTCCATTTATAAGAAATGAACGTAAAAATTATGCAAGAACAGACATAAATGTGGTTGGCGTGAAGTATTCATGAAGTCTAGTAGGCGCTATGCGCTTCACGCTGACCGCACTGTTTTTGATGCAGTGCGTGAAGTATTCATTCACTCATGTAGACGCTAATATGTGTTACATGCCGACCGCCGCGCTGAGGGCTCCTCCTTTTCATCTCAAGTCCTCGTCATCATCGCTCTCTGCGCCGCGTCGCTCTATGCCAAATTGCGTGTTTCTCTTAACTCGACTACTTGAAGGTGCTGTCTCTTGTATCGCCGAAAGACGACAAAATTAGAAATTACCAAACTCTCAGGTAATGAGAGATTTTGTCGCCTTTTCTCGTTTGTCATTTTTTTCTGAATCCGATTTTCTTTTTAAACCTGCATTTAAAAAAATTGCCGCCATGGGCCGCAGCCCATGTGGCCACCTCCTTAATCCGGCCCTGGTAAGGAGCTTTATCCCGTCAGACAGTGGTGATTTTGCAAGTTGGCAACACTGTTTTAACTTAATTTTAATCCATTAAAAATATCGAATTTAGGTGAGACATACTGCCTCACCAAGAATTGATTGTTACTTACATTTAAATGGGCGAAAACAGTAATGCCAACTTTTAAGAATCGCCACTGTTTCCAGAGAGCCAATGAAACAGTGCTTTCAAGTAAAATACCGCCCTTTTCTGCCAATTTCAAACCTGTAAATGAGTTTGTTGTGTAAAAAATGGATTTATTACATCCCTACCTAGTCAAATTATTAATTAAAAAATGTATTTAAATATATTTTTCTGGGTCGGACGGTCCTGACGATGGCAATTGTGCCAAAAAGCTTCGACCAAAAATTATAATTGAATAAAGCAGTTTTTATGTAAGTCAATCATTGCACATTTCTTAGCACTTTGGCTAAAACAAAAAAAATTGACCATGAAATGTGTACAGTTATTTTGAGTTTCGTTACCTTTGAATCCTCGGAGAAGTTCCTGATAATAATTTTGTCGCTATGGTTGTTGATGAGACTCTTGTTATTCAGCTTGTTGCTTTGACTGTAAACACCGTTCTCTAGTCTCATCTTTCCGTTGTACCGAAGGTTTGTCTGCTTCTCTGCGTCGTTGATGATCTTCTGAAAATCGTTCATCACCTCATCAACGGTGATGTTGCCAGGGTCATCGTTTAAGGATCGGGTGTCGTTCTTCACTACGATTGTGTCGTTCTGCAGTGTCATCAGCTCATAGATGACAGGCACGCGCTCCTCCACCTTGAAAAAGAAAATTTTAAATATTTTTACGAAAATATAATTGAATGCTGCTGTGTTGAAGAAGAAATGCCGTATGAACATTCGATAGTTGTCAAATTTCCTACAGTAAAATGTCAACTTTTGAGGAGAGTTATAAATATTTTTCCTTGAAATTTTCAAACACTTTGGATCAAATCACAAACAAAATGATCTGAGAAAGTGGAAGAAAAAATATTCACAAATTTTCCTGAAAATTAGTGATTTGTCAAAGGAAATTTGGCAACGCCTGAGGACTCATACGACTTTTTTTAGCATGGCAGAATGGTTTTACTTTAAAGTTAATGGTCATTGAGTGAAACAAGTTTTTAATTGAAATGCAACAACTTTAGTCAAATTACATACTTAAAAGTACTTACTTAGTCTTGGGTCCAATTTTTTGTATTCACATTCGAATAACTCATTTTAACCTAGACTTCTACAGGGTGATCCGAAAGTCCGGCACTACCCCTGGCACTGCCCCTATAACTCGCATAGCTTTTATACTTCTTTGGGATGATCCCCTTAAAATTTTAGGGGCCCCAAAAGTCGTTCAAAAGTTACAGGGATGATGCCTGGTGCTATCGGTGTGGGACTTCTAGATCACCCTGTATAATAACAAGGCTGATGACATGTGCAATGGGCGATATGTATAATAATTCTGCAACAACTAATCCCCTCCCACATAGAGTCATCGCCAGTTCTTTTTACTTAGAGCTATTGTGACCCAATGTCTCTATACTCTCTACAACATTACTCTACTAGTGGCGGGCTAAAGGAAGCACTCTGTATTATCTAAGCGCCTAAAAGGGAAATCATTGCAGACTAAAATTCTCTAGCGGGTAAATTGAATCATTATTATATAAACTTGATCGATCGATCCCTATCTTAGCGGTGTTAATTATTGATAAAGGCCATTCAACAAACATTCAACAGTCCAGGCGCAGGAGACTCCAACGCACGTATAGAAAAGGAAACCGCAAATGCTCCTAAGCAATAAAGTCACCACAATCTACCTCGATATCCTCGTGTTCCGATGAGCTGATGCCTTCGTCTTCGGCAGGGGTGACGTCACCGTTATCGAGTCGTTTCCGATTCTTGGCCGGTGCGTTGACTATTTTGCTGTCCTCGATTGAGATGTGCGAGATTGATTTGTCAGTTTCGAACTTGGATGAGTGTTTGTCAACATCTTTCAGGTTCTTCCTGTAGTTCTTCTCCACGACTAGCTGCTTTAATTTCTCCTCCTGCATCATCTAAAATACAAAAAAAAAAAATGATTTTCAATAAATATTAACTATCTTTTTTTATCGTTTGTTTATTCATTTTTTTGCAGCCGGTGCGGAGTATATAGCTCCAAAGGATCAACTTCCTACGCACTAGTGAACTGTAGCTTTAAAGAGGGTTCTATACTAGCCGGGAGGCTTAGTGGTTGCAGCGCTAGCTTTATAACCAGAAGGTCCCGAATTCGATTCCCGGCTAAGCAACCCAAGTTTGGTGGTCTTAAACAACGGTTGCTTCGAGGTGGTCATATAGTAGGGACTTAGGGGGGCAAGGCTCTAACTGAAAGCGCAACGCAGGGTTACAACTTGTGAGGTATTTGAAATAGTAAAAGAAAAGGAGGGTAAGGAAAGATAATTATGGTTACCAGAGAAAATTGAAAGTTTCTTACAATCTCCTGAAGGCCACAAATATTATCAAAAAACCAACTTTTTATACATAATTTGCACTATAATTAGACCGAAATCCTTAAAAATATCCTATAAATTTGTGGATTGTTCCTCACTTTTGTCATTTTCTTTAAAGAATTCTGGAATTCCGTCATAAGTAATCTTGCAAAATCTAGATTATACTTCGTCACCTTGCGGACAAAGCATCACAAGTGTCATGCGACTTTTAAAAATTTCCTCCGCCATTTTCTTTTTAACAGAAAAATTGTTGCTTTTGAGTCTGTTTGAAAATTTCACTAAATTTTATGAGCAGTGCAAGCAAAATTCAGTGGATTTTCACACAGCTCCGTTAAACAATTTTTCTGTAAAAAAATAAAAGGGCGGTGGAAATGTTTAAACGCCGCATGGCGTTTGTAATACTTTGGCCGGAAGGTGACGACTTCACTCGCCTCAATCGGGAAACGTGAGTGGATAACCTCCGGAGAAGTTGTTGAAAAGTGAGTGACAAGTCGTGTTAAAGCCATGAGGGTTGCAGTGTAACCTTTTACGGGACCACTTCCGTTACTTTCCGTGACGCTAATGAATAATAATTACATCACAGAATAAGAGCCATCCACTCGTATAAATTGATTATCCTGATTAATATGCTGCTCATGCGTTTTGAATCCGGCCGGCATGCGAGGACTGGTCTGATTGGACCCGTTTAGCCCCTGATTGTATGCTTGATAGTGCTGTTTTTCTTTTTGACGAACGGCGTCGATATTTCAAGGGTCACTGCCGGACCAGAACACGTAATTTTCAGTGCCGGCAAAACTAGAGTAGTTTGCACATCGTTGCTAAGTTGAACGGTAAAGGCAAAAAACGAGACTTGAATCATACTTGCATGACTTATTGAGAGGTAAGAAGCATTGAACGATAAGCTTAAAGCGATCAATTTGTGATCTATCGATCAGTATAATGTGCACCGGAAAAAAAA